AAAAAAAGTAGTTGATATTTTAAAAAAATTATTCTTATTTTTTATTTTAAATACTTATAGAACAATTATAAATTATATTAAATTAGATGATTCTAATATTTTTATTTATTAATACTATATATAATTCAAATTGTAACTTTTATTTTATTTTTTCTATAAATTTAAAAATTTATTAATATTATTTATTTTGATTTAAAAAAAAAAATTTTAATTAATAAATAAATTTATATTTAACTAATAATCCTAATAATCAAATAAACTAACATATGACTATATTTTTATTTTTTAATATTCAAAAAGCTTAAAATTAAAAATACTAATTGATAAAAAGTTTTTTTTACGAAAAAATTATATTATTAATAGATAATCATAAAAAAAAAATTATTATAAAATAAAAAAGTTAAGATGTATAATTAAAATATAAATTAGAAAATTATATTATTTATATTAATATAATTATTTTTTTAATTAAGTTTAATAAAGTATTGTAAATTTATATCTATTCAAATAAAATGAAATAAGTAAAAATCTTTTAAATAATTATTTTTAAGAATATTGAAAAAAATATTAATCTATTAAATATATTTATATACATATAAATATTTATATATATATATATATATATATATATATATATAAAATTAATTATGTATATATATATTTTATATTTTAATATTTTTTTTATAATATAATATAAAGATAATTTTTTATACTAGAATTATTTTTTTTCTTTTTTTAAAAAGTTTTTATATATTTAGTTTTGATTTTCATTTTTTTTTTATTTTTTGAATATTTATTTTAGAAGTTATTTTATTTTTTTAATATTTATATTTTTACAAATCAAATATTATCTAAAGTCTCATTTATTTATTTATAACTTATTTTTACTTGATTCTTTAAATATCTTTAAACAAATAAATTCATATCAAATTAAAATATTATAAAATTTTTGTATTCTTATTTACCTTTATATTTTTATATTTACAAAATATTTTCTTTTAATATGACATAATATTTTTTTTTTTTTCATAAAAACATATTTTTATTAATAATTAACCATTAAAATATATTTTTTTATATTCTGATAATTTTTAACATAATTTTATTTAAAAAAAATTATTTTAAATAAAAACTAATTCATATTTCACAATTCTTTTTATTTTTTATTTTATATAAAATTATAAAATTAAATTTATATGAAATAATAATATATTTATATAGTTTAATTTTTTTTTCAATTATATTACTAATTTTAAATTTTAAATTAGATTTTATTGTTGTTTTATGCAAGCATTGTTTATTTAATAAATACTAATATATTTTTAGTATTTTATTTAATTTTAAAATTAAATTATTATTAGATTGAATTTAGATATTTAATAATATTAATATAATTCTTATATAGTATAAGAATATCAATATATTCGTTATACATTATATTCTTATTTAAATATAAAATCATGATTTTTTTAGAATTATAAATATTTAATTATTATTTAATAATAAAAATAATTTTATTTATTTCCTTAAATTTCTAATATTTTATTTTTATATTTATTATATTTAATTTTTATATATTTGATTTATCTTTGATTTAATTTTTTTTAATTATATTTATAAATTTTATATATTTTTTAAATATTAAATATGACTGAGGAAGAATCATCTAAATATTTTAACTTTAATTTTAACGTAAAAGAAATTAAAGATTAATGTTTACAGCATTCTTTTTACTAAAACATAAATGATTAGTTTTAGAAATTATTTTTTTAATAAAAAAAAGAAACACGTGCTTAATTATTGAATTTAGAAAAAAATTAAATGTTATATTAATTTATTCAACCATTTTTTTTAATTTTTCTTTTTATATAGATAATAAGAAATTGATATAATTGAAGAAGAAAGCATTGATAATATACTATTTTAGTACACATATACATATATATAAACTGGTATTTAAAAATAATTTGAAATTAAATATTATGATTTAAAATGTCTTGTACCAAAAGAATATTTAAATGATACAATAATAAATTTTTTTTAAAGTAAAAAATAATTAGATGAAATATTTATAAATTATTAATATAATGAATATATGACAATTTTTTTTTTTTTTTTTAAGATTTATGGAGATAGAAATGTTGAAAAATGATATTAAAGACAAAGTTCTATTTTTTAACACTTATTTTTTATCTAAACTTGCACCTAATGATTAATTAGAAGAAGCACATACAAATGAATAATTAAAGCAAAAATTTGAAAAAAATTATGAAATCATAAAAAGAGTAAATTAAAAGAAACAAATTAAATTTAATAAATATAAAAAAATGAAATAAAATTAAATTAAATATATAATATAAAATAAATACATTTTAAATTTTTAAATTAAAAAATAAGTGGTGTAAAGAAGACATATTTTCGAAAGACTTTTTGATATTTCCTTTAAATTTGCCTGAACATTGGTCTGTTATAATTGTTTGTAATCATAATAAATTGATTAACGGAGAGACATAATAGTCAAATTCAAATTACCTAACAAAACCATGTATATTATATTTTGATAGTTTTAGATTATTAGATGAAAAATATTGTAATATGATAAGATTCTTTTTAGATAAAGAATATTAAACAAAAAAATAAAATATCTATAATAAGCCCATTGATTTTACTTAATAATCTTTACCATCATTTTAACCCTTAGTAAAAAATATTTATAGAATTAAATTTTAAGAATTATTTTTTTATAAAAATAAATTAAAATATTTTATTTTATAAATAGATTCCAAGACAAGTAAATTATTTTGATTGTGGTCTTTATTTATTAGAATATGTAGAAAATTTTTTAAATGATCCTAATGAAATCATAAGTGGTTTTGAATAAAATAATTTAGAAAGTTGGTAAAAATTGAAATGGTTTCCTCGTTCTAATGTAAACAATAAAAGAAAATTAATCAAAGAACTTATTAAGGATTTATCTGAATTACCAAAAGAATAAGCAATTTAAAGATATTAAAGGAAGAGATAATTTATTTATGATAATTGTAAAGATAAACTTGACGAATACGACTAAATTGACATGGAAAAATTTAATTAGCATTTAGAGTTAATATTTTAATAGTAATAAGAAGACGAATTTCAAGATGAAGAAGATGATGATGATGATGATTCAAACTAAGAAAATTAAAGTCTTTCGGATACAGAATTTAAATCAATTAATGATTATTCGGATGAAGATATTTATTTTTAGAATAATAAATAAAAGAGGCATCAGAAGTTATTGGATTTTTATATGAATCCTGTTTATAATTAGTATTTAGTATATGATAATTGAAACATATTTAATTAAAAAATTGTATTTAATAGAATTATTATTTACTTAAAATTTATAAATCTAAAATTATATTTTATTATTAATTTTATATTCTATTTATTTTTAAATGTTTAATGTTTATCAAACATTTATTATATAAAATATTTTTTAATAAAAAATAAACTAACTATTTAATAAATATTAAAACGTGACTTTTAATTATGATTGTAATAAGTAATAAACATGAAGAAAAAATAATTAATTTATTTTCTAAATTTGTTAAATTAATTATTAAATATATAATTAAATTATTTTTTAATGTAAAAACATTTTTTTTCTTTTTTATATTTTTAATTTATTAAAATTATCACAAACAATTTCTATTTAATTTTTTAAAATTGTAAATATGGAAAACAATTATATTGATGTAGCAATTTATATATAAAAATATTAATATCCCAGATAATTTATAAAGAGGAATAAGTGATTTAAGAGTAAAATATAAATATAAATAAATATTTTATATAAATAATATTATTCGTTTTTTTAATTACCAATTTAAATTAAAAGCAACAAAAAGTTATTGAAATAACATATTAATATAATTAAAATTTTCACCCTTCTCAGAAAAATTCTTTTTAAGAACAAAACTCCTCATAAACAATCTCACTTTCCTTCAATAATAACAGTATATCCAATAATTTTACAAAATTAATTGAGACCAAACAAACTTATATAATATATAAATGAAAAATATTGGCCATTTGTCTTTGATAAAGGCTTAATTACTAAAATTTAGACATTAGTAATTTTAAAATGGTTTTATATATATATATGATAATGTAATGATTTAAAAGATTAATGAAAATATGATGAAGAACGGTATACTAATAAAATTTAAGGAAAATTAATTTTTTATCGTATGACTGTAGAAAGTATGAAAATTAATATACAAATGGATACGGAGTTATTACTTTTACTGATGGTAAGCAATTAATCTTTTTATTTTATATATTTAATATTAATATTTATTTTTTTAATTAAAAGATTATTTAATGGTTAATGAATAAACGGAGTTTAAACTGGTAAAGTAATTTATATGAATTCTAAGAGAATTAAATAAAATATAAACAGGTATAAAGTAAAAATATGAAAAAAGATAAGTATTTATTTTTTAAAAAATGAATTTATAATTTAGCAAAAAAATGAAGATAATAATATCGATTGTAAAGATTAAAAATAGAAATTATGTTTTTTTAAAAAACTAATAAATAAATAAATATTATATTTTTACCTAAAAATATAATATTTAAAATAATATAGTGCACAAAAAATTAATTATTAATCATTAAAGAATTTATTTTATATAAACTAAATTATTTATTATGCTGATTTGTAGTCATAAAAGTTTAACTATTTTTCTACCTCTAAACAAAACATTAAATTTTTATTGTTTAACTTTGTTTTTTATTTTTATTATTATTTTTATTTTTATTTAATATTTTAATTATCGATTATTTTATTTATCTTTTTCATACTTATAATTTATAATTTTTGTATTTAAATATATTATAAATAATAATATTAAAATTAAAAAAATTATTTTGAGACTAAATTGAATTATATTTAAAAAAATACTAAATAAAAAAACAGTTTTACTTATTTTATTAATTTATTTGAAATAAAAAAATATTATGATAAAAGATAAGCTTAATCTTTAAACAAATTTAAGAGCTAGCCATTTTACATTAGGAAATGACTAAAGTAACATAATCCTTTTATTTTATAAAATTAAAAAAAGAGCATTTATAATACTAAACAATTCACAGAAAAGATTATACACCAAAAAAAGCTTAACATGAATAATCATAAGATCTAAAATTAATGAATAGTCATTTTGCATTAGGAGAAGAAAAAAAACAATGGATATATAATACTACAAATAACGTTGCTTATCCTTTCCACAAAGGAACACATAAAGCTGGATTAGAAGAAGCAAGATAAAGAGATTTGCGAACCCATCATTTTTAATTTGGTTCTTACGGTCCAACAGTTCATACTCATAATAACTTAACATATGACACTAAGCCAGTTTAATAGAATTTGCAGAATGAAAGAGAAGCATAGAAAGCTAAAATGAGAAGACATAATCATTAATTTGCGGAAAGTGAAAGAATAGAAATGACAAGTAACTATAATGATTAATATAATAAGTAATTAGATCCCAATGCATTAAGATAAGGATTAAGTGCTGCTGATATAATGCAAAAAGTAGTTAATTTGAGAAACTCTCATATAGTTTTTGGAAAAGAAAATCTTCCAATGAAAACCATCCAACAATCAGACTACACAAGAAAACCAGAAGCAAAAATAGAATAAAAAAATCCTGCACTCCAGTAATCTCATTTTGAATTAGGAAACTAAAAAAATACATTTACGACAACAAATAGAGAATTTCATAATGAATAACCACTTGTATAAAATCGATTAGCAGAAGAAACTTAAAAAGATCTCAGAGCAAGCCATTTTATGCTCGGGTAAGATTAATAATAATATAATACGGAATTTACAGGAAATTTTAAAAACCATTAGCTTAATGGATTTAAGAAAATAAATTTAGATGAAAAGTTCTTCAAAAATAACTTTACACACACTAATCCTGATGGAAAGACGAACTATAATTCTACTTATAAAACCTATATGAAATTCCCTGAAACAGCAAAATTAGAACCAAGTAGAGAATAAAATATGGATAGAAGATCCAACTTTTAACTTGGATAATAAGCCAATTAATGGAAAACAGAATTCTAAGATTAATATTTTAAAAATAATGGAAAACCTTCTATTTTATAATAAGATTAAAAAGATAATTTAAGAAAAAGTCATTTTTAATTCGAAGATATGAAAAACGGTTAGTATTCTACAGAATAAAAATCTTAATTTACTAATAAAAATATTAATTAGGCTAGAGGTGTATTAGATCCTTAATTATAAAAAGATTTAAGAACACATCATTTTGAATTTGGGGCATAAAAAGGTTTGTATGAAACTACTCATAAAAAGCATTATGTTAAATACGATAATTATTAAAAAGCTTAATTTAATTATTAAAAAGCAATGGATTTGAGAGCAGATCATTTTTAAGTTAATTGATTTTTATTTTATATATATTTATATAGAATATATATATATATATATATATATATATATATATTATATATATATATTTATATATAATTATTTTTATAATAGAAAGATTTTATAATTATATTAATATTATATATCTTTTTTATTTGTTTTGACATTTTGTTTATTTTTTAAATTAACTATTTCTTCAAAAAAAATTAAAATTTTTTTCTATCTTTTTTATATGATATAATTTTTTAACAAAATTTATCCAAAATCTTAGATAATATTTACTTTAGATAAAATAATATCTAATTATTGAAAATAAATAATAACTTAAATATGTTAAAAAAAATGTTTTGTATATCATAATTGATATTATTAATTTTCTTATTTTTAATTTTAATTAGATAGCTTATCATTATTAATTTCATTTTATTTTATTTGATTTTTTACATTAGGACTTTAACTTTATTTATTTTCAAAAACAATTTCTTTTTTTAATTTTTATCTTGATTTTCATTCAATTCACTTTCTGAATCAATAATTAATTAATTTTTACGTTCTGCATATGAAAAATATTGTTTTTCACTGTCTTAAAATGAATTTGTTGCTTTTTAAGATTAGTTCTTTTCTTTGTCATTAGATATTAAAAGATTTTATTACTACTATATCTTATTATTATATAATAAAATACATATATTATGTTTAAGTAAAATATTTTTTTTATATACTTTTTCTTTAATTTAATTATTTTTGTTTATTATATTTTTTTAACCCATTAATTCTTAAATACCCTTTTACAATTATTATTCATATTATAATTGATTTTATTTTAAATATTACTATTATTATTACTAAATTTATAATTAAAATAATTATTATAATTATTATTAATCTAACTTAGGTAAAGTACTATTTTATTAATTTTAAAAATTCATTAATTATTAACTTAATAATCTTTAATACTATTATTAATATTATTATATTTGGATTTATTAATATTATGAAGCATTTATTTAATTTTCATATTCATTCTTTTTTAAATAAATTTTGAATAAATACATAAATTTATACTTTTTTATATATAAATTAAATAATTGATTTACAAATTTTCTTTCTCTTAATTTTCTTGCATTAAATGTAGGATCTTCTTAATTAGTATCACTTTTTTTATTCTATATAATAATTATTTTTTAATTGCAAAATTAAATATATATAAATATAGTACTTTATTAAAATGAATAAAATATGCGATCGCAACATGTGTAGCATTTCTTCTAAAAGGTTAATCTTTTTTTGCTTTTAGAATATTATTTACACTTGATTAGTTTTACAAAATATTTGTATTTTAATTCATCTATTAATTATTTTTTTAAGGTACCTTTTTAAATATTAGGATAAAACAACATAAATTATATTACTTATTATTAATTTTAAATAATCTTCTATAAAATTTAAACCGCATTAGGATTTTACAATAATGAATAAGTATTTTACTAAATTAACTTTGTCTAATCGACAAAATATTATTAATCTCCTCCCAATAAAAGGTTTAATCCTTAAGGTGTATTAATTACTTTTAACAACTCTTACATTTTTTATTAAATTGGCTACTATTCATATTATTTGGGTTATTATTGTAGATTTCCTAAAAGTAATTACTCTTTTTATATAAATATAAAATTTATTAAATAAAAAAATAGTATACATGTTAAAAGTTATTAAATAGATGGTTATTAAGTTTTTTAGACATTATTTTAATAATTTTTTTTAATATCTTACTATAAATTAATTTTATTTAAATTTTCATAAAGTTATTTAAGAGAATTTTATAAATTATTATTTTCTGTAGATTTTTACTATTTAGAATTAACTTAGCTATTCTAAAGAACAGATAAATCAGTTTAGTCTTCTTTAAATCTATAATAACCATCTTTTTTTTTTGTTTATTAATTTTCGATTGAAGTATCATTATTTTCTATATTTTTGTTTTAAAATATTTATTTTTTTATTTGTTAATTGTATTATAATTTATTATTTTTTATTTTAAAATTTAATAAATTTTTATACCTTTTTTTTTTTTGTAAAGGATTCTCATGAATATTTTATATTTAGTTTGCTTGCTTTTTTTGTATTTATTTTTAGTTTTTCTTTTTATTTTATTCTTTTGCTCCTTTGTTTAACAAAAAATTTTACTAATATAAATTTTCTAATAATTTAATACTTTTGTTTATTTCTGTAATTTATTCCACTACTATTTTCACTATTTCCTAAAATTCTTCATCATTTACATAATTCTTTTTTTTGCTGTGACCTTTACATCCTGTGAATTCTTAATCAATATTCTGATTATTTATTATTAAATTATAAATATTATTATCAAATAAATTATTATAAAAGATGTATTTTATTTATAAAATATTATCATTATAAACAAAAATATTATAAATTTATAAAAAAAAAAATATATTTTTAAAGAAGAAATAAAAATAAATAATAGATTTAAAAGAATACTTAGTTTTTATCTATTTCCATAACTTATAATTTATCCTTTTGTAGTAAATCTTCGGAATTTATATGGATTTTTTTCTTACACTCATTAAATAAATATTTTTATTTTTGAAACCAATTTTATTATATTTATTAATTATAATTTTAAACAACTTTTATTTTATTTTGTATTATATATTATATATTATATATTTCTATTTTTGAAGAAAAAAATTATATAAATCTAATTTATAATAATTATTTTAATTAATTTATAATTTTTTAAAAATTAAAATTAGTTTTTTTAATATTTTATCTAATTTATTATTTTATTTTTCTTTTTTATAATAAAATATTTAACAAAATAATATTTTTACATGTTCATAAATCTTATTTTTATTTTTATATTATTCTTAATACTTTAATTTTTTATATAAATATTTTTAATATTTACATTTTTTTATTATTAAACTTATAAAATAATATTTTTTTTGTCATATTAAATTATTTTTATTTGCCATATTTTATAAATTATTTTTATATTCATTTATTAAATTCATTTATAGATTAGAATTAATATTTATTTTATATAATACAATATGTTTTAATATAATAAATTATTAAAAATTTTATTATTAATTTTTATTTAAAATAAACTTTTTAAAAAATAATGGTTTTTAATTGTTAATAAATTTTTCATAATTAAATTATAATATATATATGATTTAAATCATATATTTTTTTTATTATAATTAAATATTAAATAAAAAAAATTACTTATTTTTTAATATTTTATTTTTATAAATATTTAATTTAATTTATGATAATGTTCTTAAAATTTTATTTTATTAATATTTTTTAATTTAAATTTATTTAAATAATTATTATATATTTTTTTTTATAATTTAATTAACCTATATAAATTAATATTAAGAATAAAATAAGAATACTATAATTTATATTAAAATAATTTTTTTTTCAAATAATAAATATATTTTAATAAGAAGAGTATTTAGAAACATTTAAGACGAGGTCAAACGAGATGAGAAAATAATATACAAGATGAAGTGAGTTATGTTTTGCAATGATTCTATTTATTTTTTATATATCTCTTTTATAAAATAAATAACAAAGTATGCTGGATAATATTAGAAAATTAATATATCATATATTCAAGCTTATATAAGCGCATTTTTAAAGTGCGGCTTAGTAAATATATTAAAATTTACTTTTTTATTATTTAAGGTTTAGAAAAATATTGGAAATAAAAAAAAAATTTAAATAATTTTGGTTTTTTGATGTTTATAAAATTGAATAAACATATTATTTATACACTGCAAGTTATTGATGTAAAAAATGAATATATTGGCATCCATGTTAATAAATTTACGTAATTAGCCTACAGGTTGTGGAAATAAACTTACATAATTATAATTTTAAGCGAAAATAATATATATATATATATATATATATTTATATATATATATATATATTATAAAATATAATTTATATTAATGTTTCAAAATTTCATATTTTTATCTTTAATTTTTTTTTTTTAAATTATTTATTTAAATATTTGATGAATTATTATATAAATCAACAAATTAATTCATGAAAAAATTTTTACATATAATAATATTTAATTTTTATTTATATATTCAATTATTAATTTAATATAAATTGTTTTTTGCCATAATTTTAAATATTTGTTTATTTTTTTGACTGGAATAATTTAATTTTTTGTTCTTTTATTTTTTATTTACTTTAATATTTTTTTGTTATTATTATTTTAATAATTTACTAAAGTTTTAAATTTTTAACCTAGTACTATTCCTCATGTTATCAACCCTTTTTAATTATATATTTAAATTATTGGAATTTTAAATAATAAATAATCATCCTAAAATTACAATTTTAAATAAATTAAATAGGATTTAAAAAAGTTAAATTATTTTTCTATTCATTTTAATTAAGATTTTATTTCTTATCTTAAACTAGTTTGATTTGGCTTTAATAATTATTTTATATTGATTAAATTGTTAATAAACATTTATATTATTAAGATTTTAGACATATATTTTTAAAAATAATAATCAAAAGAATATAAATTATTAATTATAAAATTTTTCTTTCTTATTTAAATTAATGCTTATATAATTAATATATTTTATATTTTAAATCTACATATAACATTTATTTATTTTTATACATGAAAATATATAAAAAATTTCTACTTTTCTATTAGTGTATTTATTCAAGTAAGTACAGTTGATTTCTTATCATTATTAATTAAGATATTTGATAGAATTACTATTAATATTTTTATATATTCTTAAAAATTACTAGCAAAGAGTATAGTATAAAATTTATTAATTTTATATTACCTACTAATTCATCAATACAATATTTTAATTATTCAAAGTAATATTTATATCTAAATGATATTTTTTATGATTTTTTTAAAAGTCACCTTATCTGATTAAAATTTCTTAATTTTTAGAAATATTTAGTTATTTTTTTTTTCATTTTAATTTTTTTTTATATATATTTTTAGTATTAATCTTGAAAAGGGATAAATAAATATTTTACTCTTACTTATCTTTAGATAAATTTTTAAATTTTAACATAACATATGATTTATTTTTATT